GCTCACTGCAGCCTCTGCCTCCCGGATCCAAGCAATTCTCCTGCCTCAGCCTCCCAAGTAGCTGGGACTACAGGCGCCCATCACCACACCCAACTAATTTTTGTATTTTTAGTACAGGTAGGGTTTCGCCATGTTGGCCAGGATGGTCTCCTACTCCTGACCTCAGGTGATCCACCCGTCTTGGTCTCCTAAAGTGTTGGGATTACAGGCATGAGCCCCAGTGCCCAACCTATTTTATTCTTATAAAAATAAAAGTCATCTCCCTAAGTCCTACACTAAGCCCAGCAGATCTTTCCTGGAAAGTGAGATGCCCTTGTGTTTGTCTTGACCTGCTTTATTCTCATCACATACCCTGCTTGATTCTATACTGTTCAAATGAATCTTCTAGATATCTGCAAAAGTGTTGAGAAAATAAGTGTCAGAAGGACCTTCTTGGAAAGATGCTACCAATGCAAGGCCATATGAGAGTTTCTGAGAGGCAACATGAGTATAAATAAGTGGCAACTAAATAATAATCATTACCCAATTTTTCTTCTAAAAATGCCTATAATCTTTTAGACACAGTTCATGAAGCTTGCATATTGATCTCTGCCCTTGAGAAAGCTGAAGGCACTCCAAGTCACTACACTCAACAGACTTCAGTTTTCCTATCGGTAAAGTGGTGGGAAAAAAAAGATTATCTAGGTTTGCCTAGATAATCTCTAGGATTTCTTGCTCAGCTAACATTTGCCTGGTTGCCTGAAATAGCTTAGGTAGCTCCTGGCCCATTCGTTTTCTTTCAGCAGTAACCTGAAAAGGAACTTCAAATCTAGTTACAAGTTCACCCATGGAATGTGTGTAACTCCCAGGGACTCCTTAAGCTTTCTACATTTTTATTGTGCTTTGTCTCCCTGTTCTATGGGTGTACCTGGAAGGAATTTTTTTTTCTCTCTTTTTTTTTTCACTGTCTCCCCTGTTTTGGTGAAATCAATTCTGCCCACATCACATCTGCTTTTTTTCATGGTGGTCAATGTCAAGATGATCAGGCAGTGTTAGCCTGAGTCAGACATTAAAAGTTGTAAGGGTCTGTCTTCTCTCTCTCTCTCTCTGTCTTTTTTCTTGAGACAGAGTCTTGCTCTCTTGCCCAGGCTGGAGTGTAGCCATGAGATCTCAGCTCACTGCAAGCTCTGCCTCCAGATTCAAGCGATTCTCTTGCCTCAGCCTCCCAAGTGGCTGGGTCTACAGGTGCCCCACCACACCTGGCTAGTTTTTGTTTTTGTTTTTTTTTTGTAGAGATGGGGTTTCACCGTGTTGGCTAGGCCTGACCTCCAGTTATCTGCCCACCTCAGCCTCCCAAAGTGCTAGAATTACAGGCATGAGCCACCGTGCCTGATCTTCATTCTTGCCTTCTTTCTTTTCTTCTTTTTAGTCTTCTCTTCCCTCATTCATCTTCCAACCTATCCCACCCCTTATCTCTTTTGTCATAGATAAAACTGATCAAATAAACTCTTTTATATTATTTCACACTAAGAGGTTAATAATTTAGTTCAGGACATGAAATCTCCATTCTAATACAACTATAGTGAATATATCTTTGGCTGGAAAAATAATAGTGACAATTCAGGCACTGTCCTCTGGAAGCCCCCAGTCTGGGGATTCACAGCAAGTCAGTTAATTACAATTACCCAAGAGGACGGAAAATAGTATATTGTAAAAAAATCTTGCAAGTAGGCCAGGTGCGGTGGTTCATGCCTATAATCCCAGCACTTTGGGAGGCCAAGGTGGACAGATCACTTGAGGCCAGGAGTTCAAGACCAGTCTGGCCAACATGTTGAAACCCCCTATCTACTAAAAATGCAAAAATCAGATGGGCGTGGTGGTGCACAACTGTATTCCCAATAATTTGGGATGCTAAGCCAGGAGAATCGCTTGAACCTGGGAGGTGGAGGTTGCAGGGAACCGAGATGGTGCCATTGGACTCCAGCCTGGGTGACAGAGCGAGACTCTGTCTCATAAAAAAAAAAAAAAAGAATCTTGCAAATGAAGGGATCTCTGCCCATCAGGGAAGGCTTCTAAGCTAAAACTGAAAGCTGAGTGGCTGATTAGGGATACAGGGGATATGCAAAAGGTCAGAGAAAAATGAAGACACTAGAAGTTTCTCTTTTAATAAAAAAGTAAATGCAGTCCCAAAGAGTTTAAGTGATTTACCTGAAGTCACATAGCCAATAGAGGACCCCAAACAGGGTTTCCTATCTCTTTTTTTGTTTTTAAAGTTTAGACAGGTCTAGCTCTGTCTCTCAGGTTGGAGTGCAGTGGCATGATCAAAACTCACTGCAGCCTTGATCTCCTGGGCTCCACTGATCCTCCCCTCTCTGCCTCCAGAGTGGCTGAGACCACAGGCATGCACTACCATGCTCAGACTCCTATCTCTTTCTGCTATATATTATATGACCCTCCTAGAAGGGTTTAGTTTTAGAAAAGAACCCAGTGACAGTTCTGTAGACGAGTTCTTAGGGAGTGTTTCTGTACTAGTGGAATATAAGTCACTGTGCCATGTGGATGAAGAAAAATAGTCCATGACAGGGAGGGTCTTCCAAGTCCTTCTCTCGTCACATTATCCAAGGCTTTGCCACATTCTATGTCAAATCCCAATTCCAGTTCTGACTTTGCCTACTACTTTCTGATGATCCTAGGTTCTTTACCTAGTGCCAGACAGCACTACCTATGTCCTACTCTCAACATCTCTGTGCAAAAATGTGGCAAGCCAGCAGCCTGCAGGCTTAGTTCAGACTGCATAGCAATTTTACGTGGTCTGCATCCTCAAGTGTTATTTAAAAGCAAAACTAAACAAAATTAGAAGTGTTGCCAACATTTTACAATTGGAAGATTTTATACAACAATCTTTTTTGCTGCCATCTTTTGAAACATTGGCATGTTTATGGCATTGTGCCCACTTTTTCACAAGGCAACAGAGGCAGGAAGTTAGTAGCAGCTGGTACGCTTTGACAGAAGCACTCTCTAGTTAGCTACCGCTCCCACCCCGCATGCTTCTGCCATTTATATAATCTAGCAGGCATGACTTTGCCATCCTTTCATTTATTTTGTGGTAGATAAAAGACCATTTCACAAGATTCCGGAAAATGTTGACTTCCAAGCTCTTCTGCCTGAAAACATTTCAAAATCTTAGGTTTGGTTTTATAATCTTCCATTTTATTTATTTATTTTTATTTAGAGACAGGGTCTCACTACATTGCCCAGGCTGGACTCAAACTTCTGGGCTCAAACAATTCACCTGCCTTGGCCTCCCAAGTAGCTGATACTACAGGCATGTGCCACCAGTCCCAGGTTTATACTCTTTCTTTTGTAATGAAAACTGGGACTTGCAAAATTGCAACAACCATTTTTCTTTTGAAGAATTAATACAAACCCACTGGAGTTCAAGAACATTGTCAGCATCACCCAATTATTACGGTTTCTCAAAAGCTTTTTAAAAGTCATTTACTCATAACATTCTAGGACTGAATGGGAACAAAATGCTATATAATTAAATGCTCACACTATATTTCCCTTTCTGACCTTTCTTTAGGTGGTGATGCAGGTATGCTTGATTATTTCCAGTGATGGAGAACCCTCTGAGGGTTCATTTTTTACAAGCTTGACTGCTAGAAGGCAAAACAGAGCCAAAATCTATCTCCATGTAGCCTTCACTCATTGGCCATAGTTTTGTTTCTTGGAAACTTGAGGGAAAATTCTACTTGTCATCCACCATAATAGCCCTTCAGATATGTGAAGAAGTTATCATGCTTCTGAGGCTTTTTTAACCCAGCGGTATATCCTCAGTTCATTCATTGTTCAGATGTTTTGAGCCAGCCTCCTGGTCAGTCTTCTCAATGCATGTTCTCAATGCAGTTACAGTCTTCTCAATGCAGTCTTCTCTCAGTGCAGTCATAGTCTTCTCAATGCAGTCAGTCTTCACAATGCATGCTCTGGTTTGCATGCATCTGGTTTACATCAGTTCCTTCCCTCTCTGCACATGCATGCTGCTTCTCATAACAAGAGGTAGAATCCATTTTCCCTGCCTTTTAATCTGAGCTGGCCTCACAGTAGCCAGTTTCATCTTTAGCTTTTAAAAGGGCTGGCAGATTCTGCTTTCTTCCTCTTGAAGCTGACAACTATGTAAGAAGTCTGACTACTCTGAGGTCACTATACTGTGAGGAAGCCCAAGTTATCCGTGGGGAGAGACCTCATGGAGAGCATGATCACTGGCCAACCTCAGCTTTCCCACCTATCCCACCTAAGAAGCCAAAAGTGTGTGAAGAAGCATCTTAGTTATTCCAGCCCTAAAATCTTTCCATTCTGGCCCTATCCACATTGCAAAGTCATAGAAAATGATACATTGTTGCTGTTTTAGCCCCTAGCTTCCCTTGGTTTGTGAAGTAGCAACAGGTAGCTGGAAACCTTGCAAGATATTTATAACCCTTTTAACTGCTGCAACAAGGCTACAGACATGTTCTTTTCATTTTCTCATTAAAGACAGGCCAACATTTATAGGGTCAGGCAAACATTTTCTCCAATTTTGCTGCTTTTTCTTTTTTCTTTTTCTTTATAAAACTCTTTTGACTATAGAAACATATGAACAAAAATGATTAATCATTGGTAATATCAGGAGGCTACTAAGTTGGCTAAAAAAAAATACAACTAACTGACACAGGAGCAAAATAAAGCTGACAGTAGAAATGTTTAAAAAGTGGTTCTTCAGGGTATTTCTGGAGACCCAAACACAGGGTCTTTACTCATTTCTGATTGATGCTGCCTGAGCCTAAAGTTAAGGTGATTGTCTAAATCCTGACCAATTGCCATAGACTACAACTCAGATCAAACCATGTTGGAGGCAGCGATTCCTACAGGGTAGCAGAGCATCACCAGGGAAACTGACAATGCAGACAACTGTGTGATTCATGGAGGAGACTGCCCCGACTCACAGCAGGATTAGGTGCCTCTGCAAAAAAGAAATTACCTACTTTGTATCCTTTTACTTCCGACTCATTATCCAGGGCCTTCACTTGATCCCAATTCAGGATAATTTTGGAGTCCGATGAATTCCATATGATGTTTCCAGGGGGTTGACTTGGTGCTATAAAAAAATTAAGATATACGAAGTCACAGATTATTAAGTCTCAATGGATTCTGAGGAATATCTCCTTACTAGAATTTGAGAGTGGAGGCAATTTAATGGGCTATTGCACTAATATGTGTCTTCAAGGTCACTAAAATTTGATGAGATACAGCATTGCAAATGGAAAAAGATTCAGTTGGTCACCTAACATTTATAGCTAAAAGAAGCAGCCCTTCCCAGTGAGGAGAAAAGCATTTCTCTTTCTGTCCTCCAGAGCAATGAATTTTGCATGGTATACGGAAAGGTTCACTTAAAATGCTGAGGGAAATTTGAATCCACATGCTACTAATTAGTATGCAAACGACCATTGGGAGGTGGGGATAAGGAATAAACTTGGGATATGTGTGATGAGTCCCCAAAATATTTCTGAGCAAGTCTGTTCTTACGTGGCTTTCGGGTTGTCACATTGACTGTTGCACTAGAGGGGCCTGTCCCAGCAGAATTATATGCCTTGACAGCTAAGTGATACAGCGCACTGCCTTTTAAGTTCGTGATTTTTGTTGATGTCTGATTTCCAACTGTTCGTATTTTTCTAGCATTTTCTTCTTTGTCTTCATGTCTCCAATATTTAACCTAAGAAAATAAACAGAAAGACCTTGGAAACCATACCCAGTGGGGATATTTCCAATGGCATCAGGTGATTTTGTATGCAGATTCTTATGATGGAGTTAGTTTTCTATACCACATCATGAGCAGAGCTATCAGGACAAAGGACTGCGTATATCCTGAGAAATTATCCACGGTAAGAAGGGTCCCTTTTTTGTCCTCAGCTTCCTAGTGAGATGGTACATTGATACAACCCCTGTTCATTATTTTCTTTTTTCCCATGTTTGTTTTGAGTCAAAGCTATCCTGGGCATTATCAGAAGTCAAAGCTCATTTTGCCAACCATCCCATAAATGCTTAGATTTGCATATACTTCGAAAAATACCTCTAGAATATAACATAGAAAAAGGGTAGTCTCACAGCTGAGTATTCAATGCTTCCATCAATGTTCAGCTGGAGGCCAGGCCTAAAACCAATGCCTCTAAGTGGGAATGTGGGTCATTTCCTATAAGAATGTGACTTGGAGGACTCATCAAGGGGTACAAATTCTCTTTCAGACCCAAGGCACATATGTCTTGCCTACCTCATAACCTTGTATTCGTCCTCTATTCTTCTCCAGTGGTGAGGCCCAGAAAACTTCAATATCTGTGGCAGAAAGACTTCTGGCAAAGATACTGGCTGGTGGTTTGGTGGGTTCTGTAGATGAATATGGAGAGTTATTACTCTATCAGTTATATTAGGACAGGATTGTAGATAGTAGCATTATAAGGTAAAATAATTCACGGTTATAGAATCGTCCTTAATGATTGTAAGCCAAACCCTCATTTTGCAGAGGAGCAGTGATTGATAGCTGGAGTTGGTGGTAGTGAATATTTGTCCAGTGTTTGGGTTTTGAATTTAGTTGTGGGTAGAAGAGAAGAACCACTTAAGTTTAAGCATCAAGTTTTCATAACCAGCAATTCCCTTAACACAGATCCTTCTCAATTAGCATCTCACAAATGTTATTGCTTATGACATGGCTAAACTGCTTTTATTTTTCTTTTTTGAAATAGGGTCTCACTCTGTCACCTAGGTTGGAATGTAGTGGCACAGTCATGGCTCACTGCAGCCTGACCTCCTGAGCTCAAGCCATCCTCCCACCTCAGCCTCCCAAGTAGCTGGGACCACATGCATGTGTGCCAACACGCTTGGCTTTTTTTTTTTTTTTTTGGTAAAGACTGGGATCTTGCTATGTTGCCCAGGCTGGTCTCAAACTCCTGGGCTCATGCTATCCTCCCAAATCCCCCTCCCAAAGTGCTGGGATTATAGGCATGAGCCACTGTGCTTGGCCACTAAATTTTGTTTTAGGGAAGACTATTGAAAGAAAAATGTTAACATATACAAATGGTATACACAGCTATGGCAGAAATCTGTCAAAAATAACTGAAATTTGGGAAACAGTCAGTCTAGTCTCTCCTTTGCAACCAAAGATGCTGAGGCCCAGAGAGTATATGTGACTTATCCAAGATCATACAGATTGCAGTGTGAACCTGAAGTGTCACCCAGCTCTCTTGAATATTCATCATGTCAGCTGACTGTCCTTCTCCCTTTTTCCTCTCATTTTCATAATCCAGAGACATGAACTATTATCTAAGAGAAGTTGAAGCCTATGCAAAGGGCTGAAGCTTGTTTGAATAAATGTAAATCCTTTGGCAATGGTTGGAACATGAAATATGCAGGGAAAGGCATCAGCAGCTGAGTCAGACAGAGAGGCGGCAGCTAGATCATGGAGGGCTACTGAATCTAAGGGGATGATCTCTCTAATTGGGAATAAGTTATTGCATCTTCACTGACTCTAAATCAATGATTCACCTTTCAGATGTTTTAACATGGTCCCATTCCGAGCATCATCTTTAAAACAACATAGACAAACTCCAATGGTCACAAAGACTGTGTGAAAGGCATCCTGACAGCAGGGATAGCATGGAAGTGGTAATAATGTGTGAGAAATGTTAAACATAATGATGGTATGGATGATAGTGAGCGCAATCACACTGCTTCATGGCTTACTCTTTTCTTTAATAAGTGAGAATTTTTTTTTTTTTTTTTTTTTTTTTTTTTTTTTTTTTTGAGACGGAGTTTCACTCTTGTTGCCCAGGCTGGAGTGCAATGGTGCGGTCTTGGCTCACCGCAACCTCCACCTCCTGGGGTGAAGCGATTCTCCTGTTTCAGCCTCCTGAGTAGCTGGGATTACAGGGATGTGTCACTACAACAGACTAATTTTATATTTTTAGTAGAGATGGGTTTTCTACATATTAGTCAGGCTGGTCCTAAACTCCCAACCTCAGGTGATCCGCCCGCCTTGGCCTCCCAAAGTGCTGGGATTATAGGCATTAGCCACAAGTACAATATGCTTTATGAAAATACAAGTGGTAAGAAAATGCAAATTATATTTTGATATTCACTTAAAGGCAAAAATAAAATTATTTCGAAAGTAATGATAACATATAGATAGATATGAAGATCTTACATGGTACTTGCAATTCTGGTCCTTAGCAATGGAATCAATAGTAGACAGCCATGTGTTTTCATATACAGAGCAGTTGCTATCTTTTTAAGAGATTCATGGTGGACAGTGAACCAAACTTTTTACATTATCCTCTTCTCCAATCAGGTATGCCTTCAATATATATGTACCATGCTAAATTGATTGTACATCCTAAAATCCACATTTTAGAACTGAAGAAATATTAACAGTCAATGATCTGGGCAGCATAAACCATACCTTCTTCTGCAGAATACACCACTGTGGTGGGACTGAAAGGGCCTTCTCCTTTGTTGTTGAAGACACCTACTTTAACCTCAAAGGGAGAGAAGGGGCGCACGCTCTCATTCCTGAACACGTATCTGGAGGCGTCAGCTGAGGCCAGCACTGTCAGCATCCAGATCATTTTACCATAGGGCCGGAAGGCCACCACATAACCAAAGCCTCGACCATTCTGTAATTCCTCAGGGACCGTCTGGGAAAGAAGGGAGATGGTCTTCAGAAATCAGAGTAGTTTGACTCCAGTGCAAAAATCGTTTTTGTATCCCTTGTAACATTCTTGTCTATATCCTTCTCCACCCATCTTATTTGGGGTTTTGTTAAGAGTCTTTTAAATTTAGGGCTTGCAGTCAGTCTGTCTTAAACAGTTATAAGGTACTGGGCAGGGTTGAAAACGTAATGAAGATCTGCAGTCCAGAGCTTGCTTTTTGATGGGTCAGACCCAGCTCTGAAATGGTTGGAAATGATTGTTAAAAAAAATAAATAAAAAAAAATAACAGGACATCGGTCTCCTGAAAAACAGTATTTCCAGCACGTATTCTCTAATACTAAGCTTCCTCCATTGCCAAATAGACAAAAGATCTCACTGAAGGAAGAAAAACCAGCTTGGCTGAAGATCCTCCCTCTCAGAGGGAAGAGTTCAGCTGGGGGGATGAGTGATTGTTTCACTGCTGTGCTCTGGCTAAATGAAAGATTTTAATTTCTGGGGCTGTTTCGAATCTTTCAAAAACATGAAGAACCCTTTCTAAAGCTCCCACCTCTTCTCTCAAAGCCAATTTCTAATAAATTGGTGACTAACCTTCCTCCAGGTTGTTTTAAAAAATACCTCCTAAAAGAGGGCCCCTTCTGGAAGCAAAGCCAATTGCCAGGAAATTGTGCTGGTGCACTGACTCTAGTGCTGGCAGACGCTTTAAATCAATTGGCCATGCCGCAATTCAGGAAGAAAAGAAAAACCAGTTTTCTGTGAAACAGCCGTCTTTATTTCTTTTTGTAACTTGTGTTGTCTTCCCTTCATGATTGTTTTTACTGTAATGGATTGAATTAAAACTTGCCTCAATGATGGATGGGCAAGCGCCATCCTTCCTGCCAGCCATTAGCTACCTGAGAGGGAGTGTCTGCACTCAAATGAATTTTCACTGTTAAAAACAGAGGAGGAAACTTCCCAGCTATGTCTAACATTGAGGAAAATAAAAAAAATAGCTTTGATGCATGTACATTCCTTTTATTCTGTGATTCATTTACCTCCCAGGTTATAACCAGTTCAGATTTGCTGCCTCCGCCACCACTGACATTCGCTGGTGTGACTTCGGGGACTGCACATGGAGACAAAAAACAAGTCATGTCAGGCGGCAAAGGCGAATGAGGGGCAGGAAGGTTGCCTGGCAGAGGTGACTCACTTTCAATGAGTACTTTGAGGCATACCCCTTTGTCTTTGGAGATCAGCAACAGCATCATCAAGGGACCCATGGCGTCAGCTCGAGGAAGTGAAATGTACCAAGGAGACTGCTATTAGTTACCTGTTTCTCATTCAACAAGGTACACGTGTTATCTGACATGTCTGACCAATTGTTCAGCTCCATCCCTAGAGGTTGAGGGGTTCTGGAAGGGAGGAAAGGACTGAGGTCTGGTTCTAATGTTTGGTTCTGCGTTTATTAGCCATGTGATGATACACAAAGGAAAGACAGTACAAGCTCTGCTCAGGCAGAGTTTCCATTCTGGTTGGAGGGGAAGAGCGCTTGCACCACAGTTAGAGCAAGGTGGACAACCAGAGTACGGTACAGTCAGCATGGAGAAGCGCAGGGGGCCTTCCGGAGTAGCGGCCTGCCCAGAGCTGAGGTGGGCGAACAGCTTCTTGGAGGAAGAGAGTTTTGATCTGAGTGTTGAAGGAAGTGGCAGATAGAGTTGACCCCTTGCTCACTGTGCTTAACCTCTTTGACCCCCCAGTTTTCTCTGTAAAAGGGAGGAAATTATGTGAGCTTCCACCTGAAGACTGCTGAGGGGAATTAATTCAATTATGGTTTTGGAAGGGGAAAAGAAAGCAGGGGACTAGCTATATTGTCATCATGTAACTGAAAGGCTCTGGGCCGCATTTAAAAATGTCTCACTGGGGCATGTGGCTGGTGACTGGGTATATCTCCTTGGTTAAAGCCAATCAAATAGACCTAGATGAGTTTTTGCTTTTCTGAGAGTAGGGTCAGAACTCCCATTTGTGTAGAGACCTTATTATTCCTTCAACACACTGGCCCGTCTACAGCCGGGAACTCTATAAAGACTGCACATGTAGGCCTCCTGCTTTACACCAGCTAAGTAAAAGTACGGCTGACCCTGATGAACTTGTTCTTCTCTCCCCGTGCTCATTCAAGCTGTATATGTAGAGGGCCATACTAAATTGCTGGCTAGTCTTGTTTGAATTAGCACGGTGTTCTGAAACTTAGTTTCTGGGAATGGTTTATACCCTAAGAAAATCTCAGTGAACATTTCTGAAGAAATTGGTTTATTTCTTATTTCTATTCGAAGCAGGACTACCCCACGGTTGCTGTGCCCACAGCAGCCAGAAATTATTCTTTGCCATTAGTTACTTATGTGAGATAATTTTATTTGAAATGTGGGGCATTGTTTTTTGAAATCCTGTTAGAATCTCGGTGACAAATGAACCAATGAAGAAAGGGCTGGCTTTTGAGAGGACTAAGTGCAGTGTGCCTGTTGCTGTACAGGTGGACCTAATGAAGGAAGCTTAACTCTGGATTGAAACCCATTGCGTGCTCAGCTGGGCTTCTCCTAGCCTGATTTCTACCATTATAATCATTTGAGGTGAAGGGTGTGCTAACACAGAGCAGCATGAGCGCTGAAGAGCAGCAAGAATTCAAAGCCTTTTCCTAAGGAACAGCAGCTGGCAGAACAGATGATCTGAATCCCGGGTGCTACTCACGAGCTTCTTCTGTTCTCCGTTTCTCAGAGGGGCGGCTGGGCTCCCCAATCCCAATCACATTGGCTGCAACTGTGCGGAATTCATATTCGACCCAAGGATTCAAACCCACCACGGTTGCTGTGAATGTCTTCCCATCAATGAGTTCTGGGACTGAAAGACAACAAAAGGTAGTGGCTGTTTTATAGGTTCTCAGAAAACAAATGCAGAGATTACGCTAGGAAGATAGGAACATCCACCCATCCTCATGGTTATTGCATTTAGGGCAGTGTAGGTGTTCTGATATTAGCTGCATCAACAGTTGTTTCAGTGAAGTAATCTCAGAACTATCTCTGTATGTGAAACTAACACACTCTAATCAGATACCAGCAGATGACATCATAAAAGACACGCAGTCCACAAGGCCCCAAGCCACCCGACTCAATCATTACTATCACCCCTTCACATGTGTTTCAGCATTTATTATGTAGTGCCAGACACATTATTTCAACTGTCCTCTGAGAAAGGCAAAAGTATTCTATTCTTTTTTCCCCCCCTTTTTTTTTTTTTTTGAGACAGGGTCTCTCTCTCTGACGCCCAGGCTAGAGTGCAGTGGCACAATCTCGGCTCACTGCAACCTCCACCTCCCAGGCTCATGCAATTCTTGTGCCTCAGCCTCCCGAGTAGCAGGGACTACAGGTGCATGCCACTTTGTATTTTTAGTAGAGATGGGATTTCACCATGTTGCCCAGACTTCTCCCAAAATCCTAGGCTCAAGCGATCCACTTGCCGTGGCCTATCAAAGTGCTGGGATTACAGGTGTGAGCCACTGCGCCTGGCCTATATTTATTCTTAAACAATTCTTATTGTGTCCGTTTAACAGAAGAGGAAAACGAAGATGTATAGAGATCAGCTGATTAGCAGTCAGGACTAGAATTCATCTCCTAACTTTCATATTTTTCTCATCTTTCCTTCTTAAAGCACACCCGTGACTCAGTGATTACAGTAGGAAACACAGAAACCCGTTTCTAAGGATTGGTAAACAAAAATGATAAAACAAACTGGGGTTAAAATCAACAAGATTCATATGAATTGCGCAACACTGGGCATATTCTCCTTCCAAACATCAAGGCCATATAGCCTACCTTTGCTGTCTAGAGGAGTGTGTATCTTGTTTGTAATAACTACTTGTTCATCCAATTTATCCTTAAATGAAATCTAAATAAGAAAATGAGTCAATTTGGAGGTACTGACAGAAGTGGGGATGGTATAAGAATTATTTTAGATGCAAAGAGAAATAACTGTGAAACCTTTTAAAAAATAGGAAGTGCTGTATAAATGTAATAAAGGGAAACAGGATGGAAGTGCTACCGCTAACAATTTTTGTTTTAAAGAATTTGTAAAATTGGTTAAAAAGAAATCTCAAGTCTTTTTATCCCCAAATTTATCCATCTAAAAAACTGGGTCTGGGCACAGTGGCTCACACCTGAAATCCCAGCAAATTGGGAGGCTGATGCAGGAGAATAGATTGAGTGCAGTAGTTTGAGACCAGCCTAAGCAACACAGCAAGACCTGTCTCTACAAAAAATTTTAGATAATTAGCTGGGTGTGGGGGCCTGTGCCTGTGGTCTCAGCTACTCAACAGGCTGAGGTGGGAAGACTGCTTGAGCCCAGGAGGTCGAGGCTGCAGTGAGCTGTGATTGTACCACTGCACTCCAGCCTGGGTGACAGAGTGAGACCCTGTCTCAGAAAAAAAAAAAAAAAAAAAAAGGGCAGCAAGTGAGGAGGCTCCCTATAATCCTCAGTTACTGGTTTTTTGAAAGCACTGTGTAAACTTTACAAAGTCTGTGACTATAGTCAAGCAGAATCTACTGCTTTCCAAAGTGTACCACAATGCTACACAGATGATTTTAGGTAATACAGATTGATGCATTTTATTTTTATAACTAATATATTTTTAATGTGTGTTAGGGAAAATATATATATAACCAGCACAACAGACTTTTTTTTTTTTTTTTTTTTTTTTGAGATCGAGTCTCACTGTCGCCCAGGCTGGAGTTCAACGGTGTCTTCTTGGCTCACTGCAACCTCTACCTCCTGGGCTCAAGCGATCCTCCCACCTCAGCCTTCTGAGTCACTAGGACTACAGGCATGCACCACCACGCCAGGCTAATTTTTGTATATTTTGTAGAGAGGGGGTTTCGCCACGTTGCCCAGGCTGGTCTGGAACTCCTGGGCTCAAGTGATCCACCCAACTCCACCTCCCACAGTGCTGAGATTACAGGCGTGAGCCACCAAATCTGGCCCGGACATACCATTTCACAGATACTATTCCTTAGGATGAGTTTAAAAAAACCTAACTGTGATTTGATATAAAGAAAAATACTAATAATAGTACAGTGGGCCAAGGTTAAGGAAACACTGCCACAATATATCATTTGTAGTAGTGTCTGAATGAGAACTTAGATGTTCCTTGCCACAGTGCTGTGTCCAGTATGCTGAATTCCCAATGTCTCTGAGCCAAGCATCCAATATGGTACCTGTATTGACTGCTTGCCAGCCCACGGAGAACGGAGTCCTGGCTTGAATGACATACATGGTGATGGGGCTGTGGTTGTCAGGCCCGGGTCTCCAGGAGAGCTGAGCAGTGGTGTCTGTGATTTCGTCTATTGTCACAGCCTCTGGGGGACCTGGAGGACCTGGGAAAGAGTAAGACCCCCAGAACTGGAACAGTGTATTCAAACACCCAAGTGAAGGATCCACATATTTGAGTGGGGCATTGACCCATTCATTTATTTACCCATTCACAGATTCATCACTTGTCAAATCCTTTTTGAATCCTACTATGTGCTGGGAACTTTCTTGGGCTTGGAAACCACAGAGATGAATGAGACACAGCCCCTTCCTTCTAGGGTCCCAGAGTTTAATATGAAACACAAATAGGTAAACAAATAATTACAATTGAATACTTAATAGGGAATACTGGGGTACCATAAGAGCCCACATTCATTAATTCATTATCTATCTATAGGTTCCTACTATGGGTCAGACACTGTTATTTGAGGATACGGTAGCGAGAAAAGATAGATATTGCTCCTGATTTCATAAAGAGTATAGTCTGCTGGAAACGGTTATTTCTACCACTGAGAATATAGATTTAAGCACAAATGGCTTTAAAACTTTGAAGGTTACAGTATTGCTCTGCACATTCTGCTGCACTGTAATTACTAGCACTCTCTTCACCCCCAACCCTGCATCCCATATGAGCACACACTTGCGTGCAAGAGAACTGCTGTGAAAATGGCCGGTGCGCAAGAGTCAAAGCGCTCCCTTCTTCAAAGCAATTTCAAAATTGGGCTTTATTCTAAAGACTCTCATTTGTAGTTTCTGCAAGTCATACCTGTATTTTTCTGCTTCTCTTCCTGATGTTCATTATTTCTGTCCATGTACTTAAACCATGGAAAGGGGAGGAAATCAGATTTAAATGAAGGCTTGAAACTAATAAAGAATTAGAAGGATGGAAAGCAGCTGGCAGGCAAAGACAAAATATCAACAGAGCCAGAGCAAAGACCCGCAGCTATCCCACTTTCCAACATGAAAATCTCTTACCAGGCAGTCAAATGCATTTTTAACAAAGTACAATTGACCACCTCAGGAGGGAAGGTTATGGTGAGGGGACATAATGACAAACCTCATGCCCATTAGACGGGCATAAGGAGATGTTCCTAGGAGGGGTTTGCTAATCCCCAGTCTAGCAATCAAATGTACTACCCAAATACTATCGGGCCATGTCACAGGAACAGGGAGAAAAGAGACCTCTCACAGAGCAGTGCAAAGTTAACAGCAATTTCCTGAAGTTAGACTTTGTTCTAGGATTCACTCCTTCACCGTTTTCGTGATGCCCTAAATTCTCTTTCCTTTTTTAAAAATCACTTTTATAGACCCACAGGTGAGACTAAATTTATCTTCTCCCTCCCACTCCTGAATGAAATGTCTGGAAATCTGTATCCTGGAACTGATTAATTTTCCATGGTGACATTTCAGCATGTCAGTCTAATGTCACCTAGATAGAGCTAATGTAACCTTTGGTCTTGCAACCCCTTTTAACCAGATAAAGTCTTGAAGACAATATAATTTTTTTCACCAGTTTTCTCATCCGAGCATTCCCCACCTTTTTTCTTTATGGATGCTGCACTGATGGCCTTTAAAATCTAAGTACCACAGATAGAAAAGTGTTTCCCTCTAAACTCTTCAAAGAATTAAATCGATAGGAAATATCTGAGTCCATTGTTGGCCTCTCTATAGGAAGGAAATGAAGGGCTGGTATGAATTTGGCCACTGGAGAGAAGATGGTACTTTCCTGGATTTGTTTGTTCTTTTTTTTATCTTCCTGCCACCCGCTCCTACCCATGCATAGATATGACCTTACAGAATGTTTACCAACTTTGTTTTAGGGAAGTTGACTCCCTCTTTCAAAATGAAAAATGTACAAATGTTTGCCCTCTGAACAAAATGATAACAAACTCAGGGGCATGTAGAAGATTTTGTTTCAGGCAACGGCAAAGGGAAGATTAGTTTGATTCTGGGGTCTGCTTCTCCCTCAGGAAGGATGGACTTTCTGGCTGCCATTAGAGTGCTATAGGTTAAATAGAGCAGGCCTCAGCAAATCAAAGGATCTGGAGCCAAGACTCAAAGCTGCTATAGGTTTCAAATATGAAAATCTCTTTCAGGGTGGTGAAATACATTCCTGCCTCCCCCTCTGTAATGTACAAGAAGAGCTGCAAGGGCAGAGCCGAAGGAGATAACATGAAAGATTATGGTTTTAAATGGCATATTAATTTATTGGCCTTATTAACTGATTAGACTAGATTTTCTTTTAGACTGCATTTGCAAATTCCTCCTGGTATTTAATGTTATTTTCTGTGAAATGAAGTATACAAAATCATTTAAGAACTTCAAGTATTACTGATTTAAATATTCATTAGTCTAATTTATTGGTGTTTTAACTGCTAATCTGAACATTATCCTAATTAAATAGAGGATAAATTTTCAACAACAGAATTCTTTTGTCCCCAAGGGGAGGGCAGACCAGCCTGGTGTATTTTAAAATGGAAATAAACACATTTCTATAAGTTATTCTGTGGGCAGATCTACCTAGGTTGAAAGTTTTTTCTCATTTCTAGCCCTTGTCTGCACTGTTACTGAAAGGTTTTTTAAAGGCAATTTAAAGGGGAACAAAGCAGACACATTGGAATCGCTATTTTTCTGGAACCTCTCTTCACAATTAGTTTAAGTTGCTAACTCCCACACATTTCCCCCCCTTACATTATGCCTAGAGGATATAGCAACACTCTTTATGGCTTCCAATAATACCTTGTTCTCTGTGCATGCAGATTAACCCTGCCTCCAATTCTCATACCCTAAATTTTTATTTTCTTGCATTCGAAGTTTTGCCATGCACTCTGCCAGCTGGCCAAAGATGCCTGAACACCAACAGTTAGGGATTCTGATGAAGGAGATTCTAGCCAAGAGATTATTTTGATGTCTGGATTGGCCTCTCTTTTAATGCTATAGAAAACCGCTGAGCATGCATAGGTTGGATTCTGTTAGGTACACTGTTTTGTGAAGATTTTAATTTTCATTTAAAAATATTTCTTAAAAGTCCTTTTACAGTTCCTTTGCCAACTGGTTTGTTGAGGCTTGGAATGTACTCAGTTGGTGCTGCTCAGCCGGGGGGGGGGGCGGGTCATAGCTCTTAGGTCCAAATTAGGTCATGCTGATAATATTCAAAAGAATCTCAAAAATGTTAGTATTTATGTCAACTCTTAGCTCATTTACTACATCCCAGGCAGTCAGGAAGTGTCCTCTCCCAAAACCCTGTTTTAGAAACTGAACAGCACTGTGAAGTTTAGGGAAAAAAAGGAAACTCGGATAAACCTGATGATTTTACTTAAGCTGCTGTTATACTAATTCAGTTTAGCCCAGAGGAAACATAAAAAGGGGCAGTTTAATCCCTCTTTAAACTATCTGCTTTTGTTCACCTAAATTTGTTCTAGAAGGTCATATCAACTCCAACAGCTGTAATCGGGTACTCGATTTACTCGATTATCCTTTTAGTGTAAAGTTACTGGATGTGTTTGGTGCATTTTCTGACAACCCCCACTGAGGAACTGTACATGCACCAGAAACTTCTGTGGACTATTAGCCACTGTTTACAATGTTCAGCGTCTGCCTGACTTTTTCCCATAATTCTAAACCACTGAGGTTTTTGAAACTCTGTGCTACAGTAGAGATCATGAAAATATTTCAAAAGCAACAACAACAACAACAACAACAATAAAATCCAATACCTCTTACAATCAGGTCTGCAGCAGCAGAGAGCCTGTCCACACTTGTTTGGACCATGCAGACATATTTCCCAGCATGCTTCAGTTGGATGTTTCGGATCATCAAATCACCAGCTGAATCCTGCTGATAAAGTAGGGGAAAGTGGCTACAATTACTTTTTAATGAGCTCTAAATATCATTATCACATGAAGGACACTGTGACTAATGGATTTATTTTACACTGGCTGATGAAAACATTAGTGATGCAAGCCATGGCCTATTAAAAATATGTGAGCCTGCCTGAGAGATAAGAACACCAACATTTTCAGAACACATCTTCGACAAGACCTCAGGTGTCTGGCTTCTCTGAGTCTCTGGAGCAGTTTGCCACCCACGTTGGAAGGATGTAACTTACATATTACATAAGTACTATGCACTACGATGGCTCTTGATCTAGTTTTGTGAATTTCTTCAGAAATGCCCTCAGCCTAGAGCCTTGGTTGGCATTCTGATACTTTAGAACTCTGTATTTGGAAAATGGAAGCAAGCCCACATGTGGAGGTATCTGCATTTTACCTCACAACCCTTTCTTACAGCCAGCATTTTTATTGCTTCCAGGTTTGAATTAAAGGATTAGTAAGACCAGATTCTCCAAGGAAATCTCGCACCACCTAGTATGGAACGGTGCTAATTTGTTTTCCAAATGCCAAATGCATGTTTTGATTAGCAGATGAATAGGACTAATTACATCCTGGTTTGGATGTCTATGTGCCCCAGAAATATTTCTACAGTGTTCGCCAGCACAGTACTTTTAATAAATGTGAGGAGATGATTCCACAGGCTATCACAAAGGCAGCATTTTACCTGAAGAACACTGCTACACCTTAGAGTTTGGTTCACAGTTCTGTTAATCTAAAGTTTGGAGAATAGCTGCTTGAGGAAGAGACCACTCTAGAGGCCAGATTTGAAAAACTACACTTCATTCTAAACCCGTAATGGATGACAAGATAATTTAGGATATATTGGCCCTCTTTCATTTTCCCATTCCAAATTATACAATAGGAAATTGACACAGACTCTTCTGTTGCTATTTCTCCAATGACAATAGTAATGGATGATGCTTAATGGTATTTACTATATGACAGGCAGCTTCTAAATGCTTTACTTATATTAAACTCACTAAATACTCACATGTCCTCTGAGGCAGGTATTCTTGTGATCCTTATTTTACAGATGACGAAATTCCAGCACAAAGAGGTTAGGAGACTTGCCTAAAGTCACATAGCTAGAAAATGGTAGAGCCAGGATTTGAACCCATATAGTCCCTGTTCTTAACAATAACACTGGACTAGCATCCAGAAAGACCATATCCTCATGCTATTTCAAAACTAATATGTACTTGGTTATCTCCATCATTTCAGCACAGAGTGTCACATTCACAGGATAATGGAAGAGATAGATTTGCCAATTAGAAATAGGATTAGAAGAGATGCCAAAGCATGGAGTGAAGGAAGAGCTACAGTTTTGATGCTTAGCTGTCTTGGGCTGACTTCTGCTGTATGATTTCATCTAAATCTCTTAATCTCTCTTGGCCTTAATTTACTGACTTTTGAAAGACCTTTATTGACCTATGTGCTAGGTTGTGAAAATCAAATGAGATAATCTGTGTATGTGAAAATCTTCTGAAAACTGTGAAGCATAGATTAACTCTAAACTGTTATTACTGATGGCCATGATCCATTTTCTTTGTGAAACAAACATGTCAAAGATGTTAAATCTAATTCAGGTAAAGCTATGGTATGTTAACCCAAAACGTCTTTTGTTTGTAACACTTGGCTTCTCATCCAGATGCCACTGTTTACGGATCAAGTCTTATAATTGCTCAATAAAATGAGAAAATAATTGTTAACTTATTTGACAAGATTTCTGTGAGGATTAAGGAGCTATTACAGTCATCCTTTGGTAGACACAGGGGATTGGACTCAGGACCTGTAGTACACTAAAATCCGCACATACTCAAGTCATGCAGTCAGTCCTCTGGAACCTGAGTATATGACAAGTCAGTCCTCCATATATGTGGGTTTTAAATCCCATGAATATTGTATTTGCAATCTGAGTGTGGTAGAAAAAAATCCACATGTAAGTGGACCCATACAGCTCAAACCCGTGTTGTTCAAGGGTCAAGTGTATATAAGAAAGTACTTGATAAATGATGAGGCACTTTGCAAATATAAGGAATTATCACTATTATCATCATTATTAAGATTATTGTTACTTTACCTAAGAAATTTCACATATTGGGACTTTGAATACAGGTTTAAATAAAAAATATGTCCCTGGGGAGGTGTGCAGGGAAGGTGCACATTGGCCTGAGGGAAATGCCTACACCATCTCACTAATTCACGTTATTCATCAAGGGCTTAAATGTTAAAGAAACTTGTAGCCTGGATATTTCAGAGCACAGCAACCTATTAATAGAAAATTTTGATTTTGCAATTTAGAAAGTACTCTAGTTATTTATACATTTTGACTGGATTTGTGTTTTTAAAGTAAAACTGAAACAAAGAAAAAAATAGGAGCGAGGTAAGAGTCTCATCAAAGGAGACCACAATAACTTTCTCTTTCCCTTTGAAGTCATCCAGACCCAACTATTAACTAAGATCTACATTTTTTATGTTCCTACCAAAGAAAACAACAGCATCTGCTTATTTTCCACCACTGCAGTCTGTTATGTTCCTGACAGAATACTCAGTGGGGATGGGGGTATCAGAGGACAATGAAATAATAACTTTCCTAAAACCTCCATAGGTTAACTCTATACCAAACATCATCTCCACCATGCTGACCCAGGAAGCTGAAACTGAAATAGGCTTGACTTCAGAATTGCACTTGCTTTTCTCTTCTATTGTCAAGTCTTGACTCCACAGACATTAATGATCCTAGTGGCTAATACACTTAGATCTCACATGCGGTTGTGCTGTTCTTAATTTTCTATGTATTTCTCAGCAGGAGTTGATTAGTGTTAGCATTAGTTTAACAGAGGAAACAGATATTTCCCATATGAAAGATGAATGTGAGCGGCGCTACGGACGGCTGTCTCTACAAAAAGGTGGTCATCAGTGTTTGACTTCATTAGGGTGTCCCTATTTCTGCCTTAGCCCTGGCACCATTCTGGCAGAAAGGCTACATGTGTCTGAATGGTAGGACATCCACTTCGATTGTTCAGGCATCTGTTTGGATTGGCTGGTGCTTGCACCATTCTGAGATTTAGCATTTTTAATCTCTCTCCTGCCCAAGAAATTGGTTTTAATGTGAGAACATTCAGCTTAATTTATGAAGAATGTTCTCGATTTATACTTTCCTGTTATTACAATCAATGTTACCCTTCCTTCAGTTGATACCACCATTAAAGTTTATCAAGTACTTCTTTTGTGGTAGACATTGGGCTATGTACTTTTCTAGACCTCAAGATATTCAATATCTCCAATGTCTTTGTGAGGTAGTTAATATTTCTCTCACTTAGCCAATGTTATTAAGTTGAACCATTGAAAGAAGTCCAGAATGGTTTACTTTGGCAATTTCATATAGCCTTTCTCAACCAGGGTCCCAAGAGATAATCCCTAGTGAACCCAGGCATCCACTGATGTAACTAATTAACTTCTTTCCTGTGCCATCTAAAGTTGTACCAGTCAGATACCACTCTTGGCATAGAATTGAGACAACAGTCATTGAAATTGTTTTTGGCGTTCTGTGACTCAACTGCAAAAACCCTGTTTGATAAAGGTAGTAAGAATGTAATGAACAGGGCTAGTACTGTACTTGGGTGGAAAATATGCTCTCACTATATCATATGGATGACTTTAGGCCATTATTCTCAACATAAAGGGGGTGGACAGATTTTATGGCAGCCTAGAAAGTGGGGAGGGCTCTTCAAGTCAGGGCCCCATTTTTATATTCTGCTATGTTTTGGTTGGACTCCTTCATAAAAATGGCAGTCAGAGTCAATCTTTATAGTCAACCATAGAGCTGTGTTAGAGCAGAAAAATTTTTTTTGACAATGATTGTCATAGACATAAATTGTTTTCAGATTTAACCTCTTCTTGTTATGTGTTCAATGATAATACATAGTTATGGAAAGTAAGGCATTTTGAAAATGCAATCATTTTGAATTCAAATTACCTGGAGATACTAAATAACCCAATCAGACTTTCAAATTCAAGAAAGAAAACCCTAAATTCACAATGATGAGCCTTCTACAAGGTCAAAGGGAGTTTAATTAGCAGCCTAAAAGCAGAAGGAATCTATCCTTAAGCTATTTTCTTAATCAGATTCTAGGGTATATGATATGATATGTGACACAGAGTTTGAGATTTGAAGTTTTAAGCAGAGATCCGCAATTCAGTAGCTATGAGGCCAAGGCAAGTCATCCAATGTCTGTGACCCTTAGTTTCTAATCCATACACAGGAATGAATAATTAACCTGTAGGATTGGTGCCAGTTAGAGAGCAGTCCTGCCATACAGGTTGTTCAATGAGTGGTGCCACATTTATTGTGCAAAAAGGAGCAGGAATTAACCAAGAGTTTCTTGCCATAAGATTACTTGAACAAAATTCTAAAATAGTAACTTTAAATATATTGTTAAGTTGGTCCAAACAAGTTAGTCTGAGTCAGTTTCGAGAAGTTCATTTGCACACTGTGTTTCCTGTGGATAGTTTGATATTAATACTTACCCCTCCAACTCTTTCAAAGTGGTCCCCATCTCTGTCAAAGTCTATCAGGTGTCCATTAAATGACCAAGTAAACACGATGTCCAGCGAGTGATCATGCGTTACCTGGCACGGCAAAACAATGCTTTCTCCAACAGTGACGTCCATACTGGAAGGGGGTACCATGACCCTTGTTGGATCTGGAGAGTTAAAATAAAACAAACAATAACAATAACAAAGTCTGTGAGCTCGTGAGGAAATAAAATGTAGACTCCAAGAGCAGGATGAAATACTAAGTAATTTTGCTTTATTTTTTCTGAGGCTGTGACCGGCAAACCTCAGTCATCTGGGAAGCTCAGACTCAGGCCAGGAGGTCATTTTTAATATGAAAAGATGAAAACACTCATTACGTGAACCTTCTCAGAGCAACAGAACTCAGCCAGGGAGCATGGAGGTGAGATCTCTAAAGATGCTCATGGAAGGGCTTACTTTCTGGCAGCCTGCTCTGAATTGCTTCTTTGAAAAGGTTTTCATCTCTCTCCTGTTTCACTAGAAAGCTACATTTCAGCTGAGTGCAAACAGGAAAAATCCATGTTGACTTGAAGTTTGTTGGGCTCTTTTTTTCTATTATAAAAGTAATAAATGTTTTAGCACAGGGAATTTCCTAAATTAAAAGAAAATTAAAAGAAGGAATAGAAAAACAAATCCTGGCCGGGCGCGGTGGCTCAAGCCTGTAATCCCAGCACTTTGGGAGGCCAAGATGGGCGGATCACGAGGTCAGGAGATCCAGACCACCCTGGCTAACACGTTGAAACCCCGTCTCTACTCAAAAAAATACAAAAAAACTAGCCAGGCGATGTGGCGAGCGCCTGTAGTACCAGCTACTGGGGAGGCTGAGGCAGGAGAATGGCGTAAACCCGGGAGGCGGAGCTTGCAGTGAGCTGAGATCCGGCAACTGCACTCCAGCCTGGGCGACAGAGTGAGACTCTGTCTCAAAAAAAAAAAAAAAAAAAAAAAGAAAAAGAAAAACAAATCCTATCTGGATAAAACATCTATTTTCGTGGTGGTATAATTTCCCCCAGTCTTTTCGGTTCATAGTTTTTCAGTTGTTTTGTTTTACACCATTAAAAACATGAGACACATACAATTTTCCTTTTTCTCCTCAATATTATATCAGCATGTTTATTCCTTTGTCAACATATTTTTATAATCTGCCTTAAGCTTATAGTTTTAACAATTTTGAAACTAGTTGGCATTTTAGCAAATTTTATTAGACATTTTTCTAATATTTATAATTAGAAATCATAAATAATGCTGCAATGAACATCACTGACAAAATGATATAGGTATATTACTTTTTTAAAATAAGGACCATCAATTAGCTTTAAAATTCACCCTTTACATTATAGTTAAAACTGGGAATAGAATGGGCTTGCTTAGCTGAGACAGCTTATGAACTCTAAAACTACATTGACACCCATAGTCCCTTATTTTTGTGCAACATGATTTCATAAATGGTGTCAGAGAGTACACACGTGAGAAGCAGTTTGGATTCTATGTAAAGGCCATATGCATGCCTAAAGAATACAATTCTGAATTAGGCCATATTCCAGAAATTTCTATATATCAAACCACATCGAGCCAATCAAACAATTACAAAGAAGACAAACCAAAACCAAACCAAATAATGAAAGAACACTGACTAATCCTCTCCTATAGTCATGGGATTGCATTTCAGGCTATGAGGTATATAAATATTTATTCAGGGGACCTCTTGGATTAAAATATCAGCTGGGAATTTTGAAATTATATCTGATAGAATTTTTGTGAGTCTTACTTACTGATAACCCATGCTAAAATTTCCTCTTTAAAGAGAGTATTTAAAATATTTTTTCTATCCTTTTATTCAACTACAGAAAGAAAATCTCTCAGATAGCTAGAAAAGGGAAATCTCTGTCCTAAATAGGTTATAATCTAGTAGTGGGATATACTTTTGCTGTTTTCTAAAAATAGGAAAAGATCATGATAAACAGATGAATGTGCTTTCAGTCACTGTTAAATGAGTGATGTCCATGAAATGAGAAGTGAACAACAGGTACTGCCAGCAAAGAGGTAATGGGGTAGAAAACCCCTGATTTGAAAACCCGAGGCTTTTGAGGGCTACATAATAAAAATCTGCTATGTTGATTCACTTACCATCAGGAATAGATAGTGATTAAGTTTTTTATTTTATTTTATTTTAAATGAGGAAAACAGGTAAGTACAAATATTATTCTAAGCAAACATCAAGGAGTAGCCCCATTTTGACTTAACATGTCATTTGACGTTTTTTAATTTACATTTTCTGCAAGTAAAAAATGAAGACTGAAACAGATCCCAGGCTAAAATAATATATCTCTATGGGTTTTATTTGATAAAGATGTTGCCTAATTCTACTTTAAATAGCTGCCCACTGATTCTGCAATTTAGATTTTCATTTTAATTCATTTATTTGTTGATTTATCCACCAAGCATGGATTGTGTTTACACGGATAACAGACATAACAGAGGCTGAGGGAATAAGAACATTCATAATAACTGAGTCCCTTAGCACTGTTAGGCACTTTACATGAATTATTTCATTTATTCCTAACAAATAGGTACTATTATCATCCCTGTTTAACCGATGAACAGACTGATGTCTAAGAGTCGTTAAGATATTGTCTATTGTGCGATTCTGCCTTTCTTTTCACTGAAAACATGATATGCACATGCAAATCATGCAGAGAATAAGTCTAAGGGCATAATATAGCAATTTGCACTCTTGATTATATGTAGTCAACTGAAGATATTCAAATGCAGAAGGAATTTAAAGAATTTCTGCCATGGGGTGCAGATGGTTGCAGAGGGCTTCACTGCATGAGTAATGAAGTTACTGCCTTAGGTAACAAGCAGTGATGATTTTATGCCAAAATGCTGGCTCTAGCTCTAAGCCTACACATCAAACTTATGAGTGCGGAGTCAAATGTCCAGTCTCCAGTCCCCAAAACTGTCTCCCTATCTCCTGACAACTTCTGGGCAAGAAGCAAGGAGATGGCACATACCCCAAAGCCTAGAGCCCTGTGAAATTCTGGCTCACGTTTCTGAATGACATTTCTCTCATAAAGAAACGTTCACCTCTTTATGCACATGTAGGGATCTGGGACAGATTTTTATTATTGGTAAACTTAGCTGTCTTTTAACCAAGGACCAGAGAAGTTCCCTGAATCAAGGATTATGTTGGTACAGTTGTTGTGCTGACAGCTGCTGATTCATTAACTCAGCACTTGTCGCCGATTCATGTGCTGAGCCCTGAAGTAGCAAGAATCAATGCAACGTCATGTACTGTACACATACCAGAGAGGTCTCCTAGGGACAAGAAAAGATTAAACTAAAGAGGTTCAAAAATCTCATTAGCGACTTGGTTTTCTCAAAGTGTATGTTTGTTCTCTTGTTTTCTGTGTTGTGAATTTTGATGCTTTTTACTTGATTAATTTCCTAAAATTTGAATACAAACCCTGTATACAAACAGATGGCTTCCCGCAAAACAAACTGTCTCCTCTCCTTTGGTTTTAATTCATCAAGATCAGGAAGAACCTATATTTATGACTTCTGTTCTGAAGAGTCACTTCAGCTATTGTTCTGTGCATAGAAATCTCAAAGGCAATTAGAACTCAAGATGTGAACTGATGGCTGGATTTGGATGTAATTAAACAGCAACAATAAATAGGACCAACAACATCCCTAAACTTTCCTACTTGTGGTTGGTTCATACTGTGTAGAATGATAAATTCTGAACTCCAGAGGACCGATGCTTAAAAATATATATGTTTACCAAGTGCTTAATTCTCCTAGAGTAAAAATGAAAAATTCTTTTACTTTCTACGGTGTTTTCTATAATGTACAAATGACAAAAGGTAAACTAAGTGCTTTGTTTTAAGGATTATAACCATGAGGAAGAGTTAATTATTAACCATTATTTTTTAATAATATTAACTACTCAGTTAAAAATCAGATCCACAATTAGATGTATAAATCACAACACGTATCCAAGCCTTATTACATTTTCACTTTCACTGTTGGTGGAAAAACTTTCTGATTTATAGCTTTTGTTATCTCTAAAAAGAAGTGTTTTGGGGTCCATTGGATAAGAATTCTATTTTTAAAACACTGCAATGTTTTATGTTTTTATTTTTTGACAGGGTCTTGTTCTGTTGCCCAAGCTGGAGTGCAACAGCATGATCAAAGCTCACCATAACTTCAAATTCTTGGGCTCAAGCAATCCTCCCATCAAGGTAGGACTAGAGGCACGCAACACCACATCCGGCTATTCTATTCTATTCTATTCTATTCTATTCTATTCTATTGTTGAGATGAGGTCTCATTCTCTCCCTGTGGTTGCAGTGCAGAGGTGCAATCTTGGCTCACTGCAACCTCCCTATCTCAGGTTCAAATGATCCTCCCATCTCAGCCTCCTGAGTAGCTGAGACCACAGGTGCACACCACCATGCCCAGCTAATTCCATTTTTTTTTGGTATTCTTGGTAGAGACAGGGTTTTTGCCATGTTGCCCCGGCTGGTCTCAAGCTCCTGAGTTCAGGCAATCTGCCTGCCTCAGCCTCCCAAAGTGCTGGGATTACAGGCATGAGCCACTGGTGCCTGGCTAATGTTTTATTATTTTGTAGACACAGGGTCTTGCTACGCTGCTCAGGTCGGTCTCAAATTCCCGGCCTCAAGAGATCCTCCGGCCTTGGCCTCCCAAAGTGCTGGGATTACAGGCGTGAGCCACCATACCTGGCTGATAGTTCTTATTATCTCCAAAAATAAGTGCTTTTGGGTCCACAGGATAAGAATTCCATTTCAATGTTGCTTTCCTGATACCCTATCAATTCTTCTATTTTAGTTTATAATTTCTTTATCTTTCATTTACAGTGCCAAGATATTCACTTGTGCCTATCACGATAGTATTTAATGTGTGTTTTAGTCATCTTCATTCGTGGAAGGAGACACATCCCTTTTGTTAACAAATGTTTTGACTGTAATGGTTTTGATGATGCCTTTCAGTAGGATTGTATCTTTTTTCCTTAAATTAGTTTTTATAGGGAGAATTTAAAAGTGGGATTCTTCAAAGGCCTGGAGCTAGTCAAAGAGCAGACAGCAAGCTCACCTCAAATGATACAAGG